TGACAATCAATCACTCGGAGAAATAAATAAGCCATTGTTACCTGTTAGGAATATTGTCAAAGCAAGTAGATGACCCACTACTGATTATGAGGTAAAATATCAAAGGTCAATGTTTAAAGTGATTTTTTTAAACTGTGTTGGTATATGCAACTGTGACAGTCAGGTGAATTAGGGACATTATTGTTTCTTACGGAACATTTCTAGTTAATTAAGAAAAATTCATATATAAAGTGTCATTCTCGATTGGTTAATTATGTGTGCGCACCACTTAATTTATCTCGTTCGCACAAGATATTATCAAGTACGCACCAATTAATTATCTCATGCGCACCACTTAGTAACTCATGCACCACGACTTAGTTCTTTTGCGCACGAGACAAATAAAAACGCACACATCGCGTCTGTTTAATCTTGCCAGATGAATTTTGAAGCATGGGTAAAACTAACGGAAACGCCAGTTGTGATATGCAAGGACTGTAGATTTATATGACCAATTATAATAATATTTTGTATTTAGTATAGATATAAAGATTTTTGACAGGTTATATGGCCCTATATAAACGGTTGTTCGTAATATAGACCGAGCCGCCAGGCGAGGGGGTTATATTGCAAACAACAGTTTATATACGGCATATAACTTGTCTCGAACTAATAATGCTGCAAGAAGTGAGATTTTCTTCATGAATTGACAGCTGCCGTGTATATAAAACTATACAGTCACGGTTTGGCCAATGAAAAGCGACGTTACAAACTCACAATTATTATAAGATTATTATATAATACATGTATATTGTTCAAGGATATATTTTTGTCTGCTATATAAATATAATTATGTAATATCGAATCATGTATCTAACACTTGCTAGCAGCATCCATATATATTCTTTCGTAGTTTGTTTTATGTCTGATACTAAATACTAGTACATGTACTATCAAAATAATAATTGATTATACTATAGAGATTCCTTCCATAACAGACCAACTCGTTTGAATAACAAATATATCTTTAGATTAAAGGCCCATTATGACTTAGGATTGCATGTTTTTATTCCTCAAAAGCTTTTAAATTTTGGTGTCCTGTTGTTACTCACTGCGCAATTACCAGAATAATAGTTTGCTTCTGTTGCTTTCCGCGAATTAGTGCAGTTATAGAAATTTAGTATTTTGTATGGTTGTATACTGATTTATTTACATTCACTACTTTAATGACAAATACTTTTGCATTCAGCGGTTCCTTCCTCATGTAATTAACATCTAACGTGTTCAAAAAACCATGGTTTCAACATTTTAAAACTCATGTTTGTTCTTTATGAAGAAGGGAAAATTTATTCGTTTCCGAGACATAATGTGCCTTTAAGACACGTATAACTTTTCACAATGCAGGTAAATTTTGAATGTAACAAAACATGAAACACGGTGATAGGGCGATTACCACAACTTTTCCGCGCAACGTCAAAATATCATCCTTCTGACCGAGACACCGTATATTTCTGGACAAAATATTAATGGCGGGATAAACAAATTCCAGGTAATAGCTTACAAAATATCTTACTGCTTGACATTGCAAGATTATTCCAATTGTTTAAGTATTCCATCGAATTTTTGAGACAATTTATTGTTTAGTCCTAGCACAATACAATTCACACAAAAACACATCTACTTCGAAAGAAATAGTGTTTACAAAAGATCGTGTGTACCTCACATGACTCGTACTTGTCACAAAAACATGTGTTATATAAATAACAACGATGTCTTTGTTCTATGACCTAACGAGCTCGTATATTTATATGGTTAACCCCTAAGTTCAAGTTCCATACAAATTGTGTGTTTCTATCGTAAATTTCAGGGAATATTGTTGAAAAAAAGGCCTACTGACCCGCATATTGGAGCACGTAAACACTGAATTCAAAACACCGCATTCTTTTTCCGTTAGACCGACGATAAATACAGGAACGTCTTTCTTTTGAATTATACAATAATCTTACAAATATTTTATAATAAACCTTTTATTTGATGAAATTTTGAAATGAAAGATTGTTTTCTTGCTGTTATGTTATGTTGCTGTTATATCATACGTTATGTTATGGAAAAATTTTCTGAAGGGTCTGATTTGTTGTTTAATACTACCAGTTAGATAAGTGGCAATGGTATCTATATATAGATAAGGGATGTCTTTTCCTTTTCGAAACTTATTCAAACTGATAAACCACACATGGAGAGATTGAAGTTCTTGGCAGACTATACCATCAAACAACATCGAGATACAAACAGGAATGAACTATTTGTTAATGGGAATTTCTTATTGCATACTAATTTGATAAAATTGCAAAAGTCATAACACAAATTTTCATGGTGTAGTTTTTGCAGGAACCCGGGCAATATTTCCATAATCTCTTCAGTCATCGTCTCCAATGTGCTTTTTTTTAAACAATCTCTTTGCGAAAGTTCTGACTTCATATTCTTTTTCTTATGTGGTGCGTTACGCATATCGTCCTGAAATACAGGGAGACGCTGATCCATTGGCGTCTGCTGATATCAGAAGACTTAGTTGGGCGCTCTCCAGTTGCTGCCTTATCTGCCAGCTTTGCCAATTTCGCACGTTGCTTTGGCATGTTCAGACCATAGGTTTGAAACGTCTTCTTTTTTCTGAAAGCAAACATTAATATCAAAAATCAACGGTGCTAAAAAGACAGAAAAATGCGGTGATTTTAAGGAGGAATAATGCGGTGCACCTAATCTTATGATTTGACAAAGTTGTGCGGTGCTTAAAATACACCACGTGGAACATAAAAATCATACCAAATATACAAAAACGGGTTATTTATGAATTGTAACTTGTTTTCATACGACAATAATGTACATATTTAATATTGTATTTTTGACCAGTTATATGAACTGAATGGGACTAGAAATACGTTATAAATTTCGTAATTCAAAGCAAGATTTTTTTCAGTATGCCCTAAAATGTTTTCACTATCCTGACCTTAATTAATGAAGCATTTTGCATGTAGTAAGATAAATAAGTTTCAAATTAAATGGCACATTCGATGAAAAGAAAAAATGATGATTTTACCTCGTTTTGAGCAAATATATGCTGTTTTTCTCGGTTACAGGCTTGCTGTCCATTTTTACCACAGAAATAATACGGTGTGTCTCGGACAGAAAGTAAGATATTTTGACGTTGCGCGGAAAAGTTGTGGTAATCGCCCTATCACCGTGTGAAAATTCTACCCTGCTTTTAGCTGGATCAGTTATAGCCCTAGCATTTGATCTTTTATTAAAGAGAAGAAGAAAAAAAAAATAAAAAAAAAAAACCAAAAAAAAACCAATGATTAAAAAAAACCCAAAACAAACAAACAGATAACAACAATACAGGTGCATGTTTTAATTTTTAAGGTGATTTATAGGCCCATAGAGCCGGGTGTTGATTGATTAATTTATTTTGTAAGAAATATATATATTGCATATTGTAACATGTCACTGTAATTATAAACACTTTTGTTTCTACACTTGACAATATTTTACTCGGCTTATTGCTCTGTTTAACTGTTTTATTCATGCACTGATTTAACCCCTAGTCCCGCCTGATCCTGGCCTGCACTGTTCGGTATTTCGTCAGTATATATTTGAAAATATCCCTGAAAATGATGAATGGCCTTGTCAAGGATGAAAAATTGACGAGTCCATTAAGATCTTTAGCGGGTTTAGGGTTTAAAATGAATACTTAAAGTAAGAAACAATGTGGAATAAATTAGAAAATAACAAAAATCCTATCAATTAATTAAACAAAATAAAATTGTAATGGTTTGTTTTTAAGTAAAAAATAAAATCCATTTGAATTAGAATTGTAGACTGTATTTGAGTCCAAGCACAATTAATGCAGCGAGGTGAAGTTCGTATCCTGAAGTGTTTAGCATTCCGCCATTGTTTCCGAACACATATGTGCCCTCGGTGTAGTTAAATCCGCCAGCTGAAAAAATACATTGCGGAATCCATTTATTCGTTCGTTCGTTCGTTCGTTCGTTCGTTCGTCCGTTCCTTCATTCATTCATTCATTCATTCATTCATTCATTCACTTTATCATTTTCTTTTCTTCATATTATAATTGTTACAACAATAATACATCATCATCATCATCATCATCATCATCATCATCACCTCCATCACTACCACCTTCTTCACCATCATTATCATCATCATCGTCGTCGTCGTCATCATCAGCATCATCATCATCAGCATCAGCATCATAATGTTTTTTCGGAACATATTAAAAAGGAGGGATAACTGTAGTATTATAATATGCATATGATCTAACAAAAGTTACTTCCCCTGTGACTAATGCCCATTCAACGGTATAATGATTTTTTTTTAGTTAAACAAGACCTACGTTATTGTTTCATAATGCAAATACGAGTTTTTAAAGTAAAATCAAAATGGAAATGTCGGCTAAAACCATTTACGTTTATTTTTTTCGCACAATTTCCCAATACGTATGTTTTTGTTTTTGTATTTTTGGCTACACTTGAAACTTATGAAATCTACATCTATATACAGTATGTACTGGTAACGAATATTAATATTAGGATATTAACTGAAAGATTCTTTACTCGTTTCTAAAGGTTTCTCGTAACTGTTGCATTCCTGGTTGTAAAAAAAAAATAGTACAATGTACATATTTGTGGTTATGTTATTCACATGAACTAAGTATTCAATATATTTATATTTATTCCTATTAGTACAGTCCCCTGACAACCTTTTGTGTGCAAAAAAGTTCCATGGATAAATGTTATACCAATATAAATCTAAATATTTGAAGTTTACAAAAAAAATGGGTAGACATGTCAAATCATGGTACGTTTTGAGAAATCTAAGATGGCCGCCAAGATTGCCGCCAAATAATTGAAAAATGGCTAATACGCAATTTATATGATAAAATTAGTTCTTTTTTGTATTTATTTTGGTACAGGTGATGTTAAAACTTCACATCCTATTGAAACAATATGAAAAGGGTCCTTTTCCATTTTCTTATACATATACTCCTATCAGTCGAGGCATAGTGGTGAAAATGAATATATTTACCATATATTACAAAGACCTGATCAACAACTTACTAATTGTACCCTTATCTTTATTGTGTAAGAATGTGAATATACACTCATCTCCTCCCATTTTACTCTAACTTTGTGCCTTTTTCAATTTTGAAAGCATCACTGACAGTTCTTTTGATTTTCTTTCACAGTTTAAGATTTTTCAATTAATCGCAACATTTTTGCTGCTCAATTTTGAAAAATTACTAGAAATACTTTTTTTTGCTGTTTTTTTTTCTAATCCAGCCATACTCTGCTGCATGTATTTTAAATTATCAGTTAAGCGAATTAATAAAAGTTATACAAACTCCGACATCCGTGGCTGAGTGGTTTAAGTCGTTGACTCAACACCATTTGCTCCTAACCGCTTTGGGTTCAAACCCCGGCAGATACTTTGGATTATTTTACGTGAAGAAGCTATCCAGCTAGCTCACGGAACGTCGGTGGTTTTACTCAGGCGCCCGTTCGTGCCTGAAATAACGCAAGGAGGGGGCCTCAGATCTTCCTCCACTAGTAAAGCTGGAAAGTTGCCATACGACTTTACATTTTCAGTGCGATAGGAACCTAAAGTGAATAGCCTTTGCCACCAGTATAGAACCAACCACCCACACATTATTACTGCTTGAACAGGCCCTATACTGTTAGTGGAGCTATTTTTGAACTTTGATATCCAAATTTTTTAAAATATACTAACCCAAATTTAAAGCAGAACCAATGTCAGCTCGTTATAGTCGTGTTTAAAGAACATATTTAGCTACAATTAGCTTGAAATCATTGTTTATCCCTTTTCTTAAAGTAAAATGTGGAACAGAATATAAATATAAATACTAACTCGGACAAACATGACACGTTTTCGGACATTCGAATGGAACGGTGGTGCTGAAAGTCACACATCCATTTGCGTCATAGGAACCGGTTCCGCACTGGAAAGGTTCTGTTAAGTTCCGGCAATCAACTGAAACATATTGAAGACTCTAATTTAATAACTTGCACATGCACACATAAAGTGAAAATGACCAACAGGACTAACGACTATGATATATATTTGAATAAAGTTAATCTCCCACGTGGAAGAAAGTGACAGAATAAAAGCAGAACAACACGAGTTCCACAGACAAGTGTATTATATAATAGTATAATGTGTTCTCTGTGCACGTGATGCCAGATAAGATCACGTGATGAAGTGTGGTGCGTGATGCGCACGCATGCGTTTGTGCGTTCTCTAAAAAAAAAACGTCTTATATGTACCTGTATAGGGTGGAGGGCCGAACTCTGTGGTCTTGAAAATATCTATTTGAACTTTATTTGAATATTTTATTTCATGTTTCACTAACGCCGTGTTATTGGTTTAATACAAGGCTGTTAAACGTATTTGAAGTGTGCCATAAATTTTATGGTCAACTCTCAATAAAGTGACCCTTCCACTAGTCTTACTCGATTATTAAACTTTAGGGAAAAAATAGTGAAAATTTTCATTCACCGAATTGAGAACTTAACCAGAATCGTGCATTTTTATGTGAAACAGACAAATTTATGTAACGGACATGACAGCCACGGGTAATGGATTAAAGGGGATCTGGCTCAAAAAGGTAACCACTTCTTTAAACATGATTTTCAGTACAAAGTTTGCTATGATCATAGAACAAAAAAAATGTATTATAATTTTGACGAAAGTTATTCCTTATAAACGCCCCTGATCATGGTCCTGCTAAAACAGATATAGGAAAAGAAGGAGCCTGGAACCCTTTGCGAACGGTAAGCCTGAAACCGGTATTAGACGCTTATTAACATATTCAAATTCCTACGCAGTGGTCCCCCTTGATTTTGCCTGCACATGACCAATCAAATCACTGTGATGAGATTGTATAATGTATTCATACGAGGTTATATCGTAAGTAGTCCCTGTTTAGTCTAATCTTTTCTGTCATTTTTTGTTCGTTAATGCTTGAAAGAATAAATATAGAGTATATCCTTATGTCATCTTCAATGAATTTTGGAATTGTTTTGTGGGAATTAATAAGCGTCCACATGTTAGATCCATTTAGAATGATCAAACATTCATTTTTCATAATATGTCCCCGATGAATAAAGATTCAAAGAAACGCGTAAGTTAAGCATAAAATCAGAAATCTATACCGTTTTAAGTATTTTTAGTAACAGGCAAATCTCTAAAGATAATTAGTTTTGAATACATACGTTGACAAAAATCTCCAATATGAAAAGATTGTTTACACTTGCAATTGCACGTGTTGGTATCAATGTCTCCGCCATTCTCACAAACCTTTTCTCCGCAATCTGTAAGAATTATACTAAAATTATTATCATTTGATAGGCATGATTTAAATCAAACATTAAATTTCTTAAAGGCATATTATGTCTCAGAAATCAACATTTTTTTTCAATTTTCTAGATGAGTCGAATATATGTTAAATATTGTTTAAATCATGTTAGATGTTAAAGCAGCATGTCCCCAGATTCAATAAATTTTCATGAAAATTTAGAAAAGTTCCAAATATGCAAAAATTGTCCTAACTATATATTAGGCAGCAGTGGAAGTATGTTGATGAATGATGCGATCGCATATAACATGTAACTTATAACTTTTATTTTGTATCTTGTAAAGATATGCTATGCTCAAATTTGATATTAAAAGTATTGGTAATTGCTACACAGTCTCTTTGTAAATATAAAATAAACAAGTTTTGACTTCACACCATGTATGTATGTAATGTTTAAAACTCTGAGCACTAAAGGTGGGTACAATGTGAATACATAGTGTCACTAAAAAAACTGGCAGTTTTTTTTCAAGAAAAGACCAACTTTGCTTGCCCCATAATAGGGAACGCAGCTTCCCATACATAGTTTATTCATCCTTTATTCAAATCAGACATATTCAGTAAGAATTTTAAAAGCTTCAATAACTTTCCATGATTAAAATATTTTACTCAAGGATGAGCATAGTATAGTTTAATCATAGTACATATATTTTTCTCAAGTTTGATTGTCTTGAAAAAAAATCTCACAGGAGACATGCAGCTTTAAACAACTGACGAACGCAGCACATATAGACCTTTATACAACGCGGTCCGTTGTTATGAAAAATCGGCCGGATATAGTATTTTCTCGCGCATGCGAAATTGCCTAAGAGCAAACATTGAGTACCTAGAGATAGAAGCTCAAATTACTAAGATAATAAAAAAGAATAACTCTAGATATTAAGAAAGATAACTCTTACATACCACAAAGTTTGTCCTTGCAGTTACCACATGCACCGCAATTCTTTCCCGATTTGTACGGTTTGTTTATATCAAAATTTCCTCTGAAATGGATGCAAATGTTTTTTTTTTAACCCTTAACCTGCTGAATATTCAAAAATGGACTTGTCCAACTTTCTTTTTGGAACTGACCATTATCAATTTTGGGGATATCAAGATGAAAATTTGAGACTAGTCTGCAATCGGGAGGTAGAACAACGTCCCGCCACATAACAAAAGAATAGCCATCAAGTTATTCAGAATGTAACATAAGTGACATTTTTTTTGATAATTTGTATTTATTTAATTAATTTGAAAAAAAAACTTACGCCGGGGAATAATTACAGACATGAAAGTTAGTTCCTCCGCAATCCGCCATACCGCATCCTATTTTACTCGACGTCGCCCATACCAGCTGAAATATTTTAAAAACAGATACACTTTAAATGAGGGATTGATTATTTATCAATATTTAAAGTTTGCGACAGCTCTTCGTTCCATTTCATAAGAGAAAAAATCAAAAATCTGTAGGCACATCATTGCAATCACACGTCACGACATCAGACTTGTCATTGTTTGGTGATTTGATCTCGTTATGTTTTCAAATAACAATGATTAGTTCGAACGCAAATCACATATACGACAAGATATCGCGATCTTGCTTAAAATTCTTAAAATTAAGAAATTCAGAACTCAGACAAAATGAAGCTGTTCCTTTTTATGTCTTATTGCACGATTATTTCAGACAATATATTCTTTTTGTAAACAAAATAACGATCTGATGGGCTAATTGCAATGTTCTCATTAAACCCCCCCCCCCCTTTCACCCGCGAAAATAAATTACCTCTCTTTCCCACTCGAAAATAAAATCAAATGAAATGAAATAAAACGGACAAGAGAAAACCAATTGAAACCAGGCGAAATGAAACGAACGTAGCGGAATGAAATGAAACGAACTGGAAATAAAAGAAAGATAGTGAAATGGGAATAAAAGAAATGGAAAATTAATACTACTAAGAATAAAATACTAGTTTTATAATTACCTGTGTGTAGTGTCCAACCTTGTGAAAAGCGTTTTTCCCATTGTATGTGAAATCCTTTACCTCGTCATTCCAAGCTTTAATAGCGGCTTCCCAGGTCTTGTATCCCTTCCCGATATTCTGTCCAGCAGATAAACGGCCTATTGAATAAGTTTCGGAATTTACACAAGATTTATCTTTCGCTTTATGTTTATTGCAAAGTTAAACATTGTATAATACAACGTTTACTTTTTTGGGTAACCAAAATTCGGATAATAATCAAATTTCAATTGAACGTAAATCTTTGTGTAGTCACTACATCTCCACAAATTTTGATACCAAATATGCCAATATTGAGCTTACATAAGTATACAGAGTTCCCAAGTAACCAATGGACATGAGTATAAATCAGCCGTTTAAGCACTAATTACAAGATTAGGTGATAAATCAATCAATCAATCAATCAATCAATCAATCAATCAATCAAGTAAACAATTAATCAGTCATCATCGTTAACATAATAATAATAATAATAATAATAATAATAATAATAATAATAATAATAATAATAATAATAATAATAATGATGATGATGATGATGATGATGATGTTGATGTTGATGATGATGATGATGATTATGATGATAATAATAAAAATGATAATATCTATAACCTTTGCTAAAGTACGCATATTTACTTATCAAGAATGGACACGCGTTCAAACAAACCTGGAATATTTCTGTTTTGAGTTTCATCGTGGCCAAACGAGCAGGTCTCTGCCCAGGCCTGTGCCACCAGCGCGACCTCAGCGTCCCATGTCTGAAATGAATATAAAGAATAACGTGTTTATATCTAATAATTTATACAGATATATCGGTTATTGTCCTACGGTATAGCTCTTTGTCCTACAACATCGCTGTTTACCCAATGTTACAGTTTTGTTATCCCTACGCCATCGCTTTTTTATCCTTTGACATCGCTCTTTGCTATACGCCATTCTTTTTTGACAAACATCATCGCATTTAGCCATTTAGCCCTCCGACAACCGATATCGCTTGTTTCGTTTTTGTTTTATTGATGTGTTATTGTATGTATCCGTGCATACAAACAATGTAGATTCAAACATACAAAGAAATATACAAATGGTTTGGGCAATCTCGCTATGTTTAATAAGCATTTTACGACTTTTTCTATATTTTGTTTCATCTTCTTTAATGAATATAAAATTGTCAAAATTAAAAGAAAGAAAGAAATGAAAGAAAGAAACAAAGAAAAAATAAAGATAGAAAGAAAGAATGAAAGAAAGAAGGAAAGAAAGAAAGAAAGGAAAAAAGAAAAAAAGAAGAAAGAGAAAGAAAGAAAAAAAGAAAGGACGAAAGAAAGAAAGAGAAAAAAGAAGAAACGAAAGAGAGAAAAAAAGAAAGAAAGAACAAAAGATATAAAGAAAGAACGAAAAAAAAAGTAAAAGAAAGAAAAAGAACGAAAGATATAAAGAAAGAAAGAAAAAAATAAAAGAAAGAAAGAAAAAAGAAAGAAAGAAAATAAGAAAGTGAAAGAAAGAAAATGTCAAGAACGAAAGAAAGAAAGAAAAGAGAGAAAAAAGAAATAAAAGATAAAAGAGAGAAGGAACGAAAGAAAGAGAAAAGAAAGTAAGACAAAAGAAAGAAAGAAAGAATAGAAGAAAGTGAAAGAAAGAAAGAAAGAAAGACAGAAAGAAAGAAAGATAAAAAAAAACAAAGAAAAGAAAGAAAAAAGAAAGAAAAAAGAGAAAGAAAGAAAGAAAGATAGAAAGAAAGAAAGATATAAAGAAAGATATAAAGAAAGAAAGAAAGAACACGGTCTAAACTTTACCATCCTCAGCATATCTGTCGCAGGCGGGTTTACATCCTTGCGGTATTTGTTATGCTCGGAAACTATCATATTCTTTTCTGCATCGCTCACACCTGTATATGTAAAAGAAAACATATAATATAACATAACAAGATAAAACTAACACAACATAATATAAACTGTTGATAATAATAGCTCCTAACATATTCCACCACCAAAAAAAAATAAATAAAATAAATCCATATAAGATCACGCCGTTCACCGGTGCCGCCAATAATATGTTTAAAATCTTTAGTTTAGTTTAAACATATTTATTCCCGAAAGTATATATAATGTACATACATACAAATATATAACAAACAAAACATTTTACACAATGGAAAAGGATGAGAATGAAAGACAAGTCTTATAGAATTCTTCTCCTTTGGCGAACTATATGGTTTGTCTTAAATAAGTTTATAATTAGTATATACTAGACAAGGGAATAAGTATTAATTATACACACATAAAAGTATATATTTATATATAAACTTTTATAGATTAGATTAACTACAAGTAGATGTCTAAAATGTAAGAATATATATAAAAGAAGAAAACAAAATAGTTGAAAAGAGAAGAAAAAGGGTGAGAGAGGATTATAGTCTCAATTAGAATGGATCTAAGTAAATCTTTTCGTTTTTTCTATATAATTTTGTACATTTGTAAATATAATAACGTTGTCCTGGTATGTAAGAGATGGGTCACCATAGAGAAGTTTATGAAGGTTTATGCTGAAGTCTTGCAAGTTAAGGAGGAGTGTTCTGCGGGCGACATCGTATGCACAGCACTCGAAAAAGAAATGTTGGGTAGTTTCGATTTGCCCACAATTACACAAAGGGGTAAGAGAAATGTTTTTCAAAAACAGGTGGTGATTTAATGCGCTGCAGTTCGTTCGAAGCCGAGTGTGAAGGACCTGCAGTTTACGACTACCTGTATAAAAGTATGTTGGTGTATATTTTCTGTCCTTGTTTAAGAAAGTTTTAAATGAAGATATTGTAGGGCTGTTTCGTATTATAACAGGCAAGTTGTTCCAATCACGAATAACTGATGGCAAGAAAGAATTGTGGTACAGAGTAGTCCTTGATGTAATTCCTCTGATATCTTCAGAGTTTCGTAAGCTGTAACGGGATTGATCTGGATTTGGTATTAATGATGAGAGATAATCTGGAGTTTTGTTCGACTGCATATTGTGAAACATAATTAGTTTGTGTTTATATCTTCTTTCGGATAACGATTCCCAATTAATTTCTTTCCGCAAAGTTTCTAGTGAGATAAGCTTGGTTGCACCAGTTGCAATGCGTGCACATTCATTTTGAATCTTATCAAGCTGTTCGAGTTCATATTGGGTACAATTGCACCAAATTACATCACCGTATTCCAAAATAGGTCTAATGAATGCTATATAGATGATTTCCAAAGATTTACGATTCCAGAGAGAATTTCAGTTTACGCATTATATTAACCCTTTTCCAAGCTTTATCAGTTATGTATTCAATATGTTTGTGCCATGTGCAGTCAGAAGAAAGAAAAGATGGGGCCTAAATGTTTGTGTTCAGAAACTTCTGGAATTTGTTGGTTAAACATATGCAATGAAGGGTGATGCTGACGATTTCGCTTTCTGGTTACAAGTAGGGATTCCGATTTTGAAGGATTAAAGGTGACTAACCACCTTTCTGCCCATAAAGATATTTTTGGATGTCAGACTGAAGAAGTGTGGCTGCTGTGTTAGGATGTTCAACTATAACATAAAGACTGGTATCATCAGCAAAAAGGTTTATGAAAGATTCAATTTCATTAACAATATCATTTATAAAGATCAAAAAATAATAGGGGACCAAGTATAGAGCCTTGAGGGACTCCTGCTTTGACAAAAGCCCATGATGAGTAGGCGCCAGGTAGTATGACCCTTTGTTTTCTATCAGTAAGGTAACTATTGAACCAAGATAACAAAGATCCACATATACCTGCGTGCTTTAGTTTCGAAAGTAGGCCTTTATGCCAAACCTTGTCAAACGCTTTACTGATATCAAAGAAAACCACACGAACTTCGAGGCCATTGTCAAGTGATCTACAAAGGGTATCATAAATGAAGGCAAGCTGATTAACAGTAGAATCACCCGGGATAAAACCAGACTGAGCAGTAGACAGAAAATTATTTACTTTGAGAAAGTTAAAGATGTGTTTAAATACAAGACGTTCAAAAACTTTTTCTGTAGTGTTCAAAAGTGATATGGGTCTATAGTTATTTGGGAGAGATGTATCGCCCTTTTTGCGAAGTGCAATGACATTTGCCTCTTTCCATGTGATTGGAACTTCACAACATCGTAGAGAAGCATTGAATAAGTCACACAAGGGGAAAGATAGTTCATGAGAAGCCTCGCGTAAAATTCTATTACTTATATCATCTGGACCTTCTGCTTTGTCAACTTGTAACCAAAGAAGAACATCTTTTACTTCATGAGGGCTAAGCACAATATCGTAGAGACAGGAATGTGTCGAACTAAGGTAAGGTGGATCTCTGTTCTCATCGTTTATAGACATTTGTTTTACGAAGAAGTTATTCAGAAGATTTGCCTTATCGTTATTTGAGTAAACAATATTTCTGTTTAAGGGGTCTGTCAGTGGTGGAATGCTACTATTATTTGTTGATGAAATAAAAGATTTCAGAGTCTTCCACCAGTCTTTAGACGAAAGTGATTCATTTTTCAATTTATTAGAGAGTTTACAAAAATAATTTGACTTGGCTTCCCGTATCAATAATATTGTTTCATTACGAATAGATTTGAATCTTTGCCAGTAATATTGTGAATTTGTCATTCTAGCTTTTTTATACAGACGTTTTCGTTTACGGATATTAACTCTGATTGAGTTTGTCATCCATGGAACATCTAATGGTCTTACTTTAATCAATTTGTTAGGGATGTTATTTTTAGCAATTGTTTGTATCTGATTGATTACGTTATTCGCATATATGTTAACATCTGCATCAAAGCAGTTTTCCCATGTATAGGTATTTATATCTTCACGTAATGCTTCGTAGTCAGCATGTTCATATTAAAATCTTTCACACGCAGCTTGACCGCAGCCAATGAAAGCATTTCAAACAGAAACAACTATCTCCACCGTATGCTTCTGAAGGACAACATAATGGTAACCAAGCATGATGGATGATGTTGCATTATGGAGCGCCATGGCTGTCTTATGTGATCAATGTTTTTGCATATTTCCATATTGCATTGTAAGTTTCCGTGAGTTTCCGTTCTGTTCTTTCCCGTTAAAGGTCATTAAATGCTTTCTTTTTAGTTCTCAAAGTCATCTTTTATATTTCAAACAAGTTACTTATTGGCAATTTACCTGGCCTGACTCCTTCTTCTGTTTTTGTGTTTTTTGCTTTGCTTTTGTTTTTGTTTTGGGCAATGATTACATATATAGTGACTAAGTTCTTTGTATGGAAGTCAAAATTTCAAATTCAAATTCAAATTGTGTACCTTTGTGGCATATTGTTTTACATTTAGCACTATTTTCAAGCAACAAGCATGTGGCATGCTCTAAAACCATTATTTAAACGTTATTAAACTCATCTTGGACCTGTGTAAAAAAGTAAATATTTATTCATTTCTGAGGCATAATGTGCCGTGCATAGTGCGTAACGTCCTCTTTCCTTGACGTCATTTACCGATGTCGTCTATTTCCGATGACATCTTTAATTAAATTCTTTTCCCCATTTATGTCAAATCAATCGCAACTTTTCGGCACTTTCCGACAGTCTTCGGATAAGTCCTCGAACTACACAGAACGGATACGTTATTTCGGTCTAACCTACGCTAAGAAACTAAACATGTAAACAAATAATAATTAATTTAATGCTGGGAGTTGTTGACAAGTTTTTTACCAATATATCAAGTTAAAGTCCACCTAAAATAAGCAAATTCAGAGATATAAAAGTCAACGGTACATTATTTCTATATTTATTATTATGGTTGTAGAAACCGAATGTATAAAATGCCAACCTGTTAACATTGAGTTGGATTTGTTTGTAATTGTACATCAATGCCCATATGGGCATATTCAAATTAAAAATGGTTGTCAAATATATTATTTTCAATCATAATTGTACCGAAACAGACATTATTTTCCTTTTGATGTCAAATATCTACATTCGTTTTACATTTCGAAGATTTCACTCTCTATTTCTGTTTAAATCTGCATCCACTTTGTAGAACTATTTTTACTCCGTATTGTTTCCGAGGTTATTTTGAATAATAGCCGAGGATGTTCCGATTGATGTCAAACCTGCCGTTTGGTGTACTTAGACATTTGTCACGTAAGATGACTGTTTCATGTTTTTTTTCTTATCCCTTATTCCACAAGCTCGATAGATAACCTTACCACTTGTGGGATTCGGGCAAACGGTGATTTGATATACAAATGACGACTTATAAAACTATATGGACATAAGAACGAGATCTAGTATTCGTAAAACCCGGTAATCTTTAAGCTTACACCCGCAAATAAATATCAATATTTCTTATAACAGACGGCTTTGAGAATACTTGACAAATCGATCGAATGTTTAACTCGCTTATCCCCGCTGAGTAAATTTGCCCATTGTATGATTAATTATTACGTGAAATATGTGTCATTTTCATTCTATCCCTTTTTCAAATTTTGCAAATCAATATTATGTTGAAATAAATTCATTTGTCAATGATAATTCTTTGCGCTTACTTCTGTTTATTAAGTAAACCTTTCGTTATCTAAAATTTAATTCATTTTAATTATATGCCTGAATGAAGTATTATTTAATATAGCTGTGCTGTATAGCTGGGACATACGATATCGTATGTCCCAGTGTATAGATAGATGAAATTTTGGCGATGAAACATTTACTTTATTGAAAAGACGACGCATTTCAAAAAATAATCCGTGGTAGTTTTGTAAATTATTTCAAGGCTCACAGCGAACACTGCCGTGCCTGAAATAATGCACGGAAGGACACGTAAAGCTGGAAAGTCTCCATATGACATCTATACTGTGTTGGTGCGATGAAACCCCCTCCCCCACTCCTCAAAAAGGAAAAGAAACATACTGATATTATAGTGTATCTTGAGTATCGTGTTACAGTTTCCATAAAAACCAACTAATTTGAACTATCTTTGCTTATTTTGCTTTGTTGGCAATTGGTGTAATTAAAGTGAATTAGTATTTTGTATGGTAGTCAAAACACCACTTTGTTTAAATTTTGCTACATTTTCTACACAATACTGCACATTCAGTGCTACTTACTCCTGCAGCTATACATTTAACAAACACAAAATTAATTGTTAAAACATTATTAAACACATGTTTGACATTTTTAAAGAAGTTGATAAAAATGAATTTCTGACGCATAATGTGCCTTTAATATTTTGTAATTTGCAAAGAAATTTGAAAAAACTGGTTTATTATCCAAGAAAGCCGGTTAGGTCAACCGGTTGCCTAGATATTACCAAATACATGTGTTAAAATTGGCTTTAAAAAAACCACAGGAAACGTTAAAACAAACAAATAACAAACCTGCTTTCTGTACGAGAGGCGACCTCTCGCGACATGCCGAGTGATTGACTATCATCTTGAATTTGTCCTTACATTCCCGGGCCTATAAAATAAATAATAAATTAAAGTTGTCCTCAAAACTACAAGCCTCCAGGAAAGTAAACATATTTAAAAAAAAAAACAAAAAAAAAACAGAAAAACAGCTTTACTTTAGCAACCCCCCCTTTGGGCGGGGTTTTTTAAAAATTTTTTTGGGTTTGCATTTGTTGGTTTTTTTTTCCCCTATTTTGCAAAAAAAATTAAAAATTGTTTTAAAAATTTCTTAAATTGGAAAAAAACGGGAAACTATTTTTAGAAAAGGGTTTTTTTTTTTTGGTTTTTTAAAAAAAGGGGCCGCCCCTCTAAAAAGGGGTTAAATGTCTTTTTTAAAAAAATTTTTTAAAAATTTCCCAAAACCCATATTTTTTGCAAGTAACTTTAAAAAAAGGTATTTTAAATTTTTTTATAGTCTAGGAAATAAAACAAACTCTAAAAAATTTTTTAATTATTTTCAAAAATTGGGAACCCCTTAAAATTAACAAAAAAGGGGTTGGTTTTTTTTTTTAACCCCCCAAAGGTTAAAGCCCCCCTTCTTTGGTAATTTTTTTTTGAAAAAAAAACCCCGGGAAATCAAAACCCCCGCCCCGGGCCCCACCCGGGAAAAACCAAAACCTGCCCCCCCAAAACTATTTAATTTTCCCCGCGATTTTTTTTTAAAAAAATTTAAATTCAAAGTTATTTTAATTTTTTTAAAGGGGGAAAAAATTTTGAAAATTTTTTTTATGTTGAAAGGGTTTTTCCTCGGTAAAAAAGTTTGCCCCCCTT